CCCAGCCCCTGACGCCGCTCTCCCCACAGGGCCCTGAGCACCCCAACCCCGGAAAGAAGTTCACAGCCAGAGGCTTCCCGCGCCACTGCTATCTGCCCAACAACGAGAAGGGGCGCAAGGTGAGTGTCGGCGACCCCTCCCCAGCCCGTGCGCCTGTCCTGTCCCGGCCAGCAGGGCCTCTGCTCCCATCCCCCACCTGGGCCCACTTCCCCAGCCCCCTGGGGTCTAAGTCTTGAACCCATTTTACAGATAAGGAGAGTCTGGGGCAGGTGGGCGGATCTGCGTGTGCGGGGCCACGCGGCAGGCTGTCCGGCACCCCAAGACACGGGCAGACAACTGGGAGAAGTTCTGGGGGCGGGGCCTAAGCCGGGGCGGGGCTCGCGGGGCAGGGCTCTGGGGACCGAGGGCGGGGCTCGCAGGAGTGGGCGGGCCGAGGGCGGGGCCCTGAGCCCGGCGCCCCTCCCCAGGTCTTGCGGCTGCTCATCACCGCCTGGGAGCGCCGGCTCATCTTCACCATCGGCACGTCCAACACCACGGGCGAGTCGGACACCGTGGTGTGGAACGAGATCCACCACAAGACCGAGTTCGGCTCCAACCTCACGGGCCACGGCTACCCGGACGCTAGCTACCTGGACAACGTGCTGGCCGAGCTCACGGCCCAGGGTGTGTCGGAGGCTGCGGCCAAGGCCTGAGGCCCCAGGCGGCCTGCCTGCCCTCCTGCTTCGCCCCCGGCCCGGCTCAGGGCGGGGGAGCAGCCTGCAGAAGCCGTAGGAACGCTCACGACGCGCGGGGACAGCGGGGGAGGTCGGGCCGCAGAGAGTTCCAGAAGCCACAGCAGCCTCCCTGCTGGGGGGACAGCGTCCCACCCCCTCACACATGCGCACGCACACCCACGTGCCTCGATGGACCCCAAGCTGGGGGCGAAGACAGACGCCCCCCCCCATAACCGAGGGTTCTCATCTCTGTCCTGACTTGGCGCCTGCGTGGCTTCCCGGGAGGGAAACAGATCTGGGGAGCCCGGCCCATCCCTCCCCCCCAGCCACCTCCGCATGGGGGCGGGAGGGCGAGGCCTCCTGCTGTGCGCGTGTCTTCGTCTGTCTGGGACCCTGACTCCACTCCCATCACCAGGCCTTATTCCGTCCCAGGTAAGGGCACCTGCTCTCCCCCCCACCCCTCCTCCAGCCACAGCAGCCAGAGGAGGGGCCCACTTTAGTCCAGAGTGGATGTTGAAGGGTCAACCTCCCTCTCCTTGGGAGTGGGCAGCGGGTGGCTGATGGTCTGCGGCCAACCAGGGGCCTGTTGCCCCGGCAACTCACCAGCTCCGCCTCTGTCGATTGGCTGCCAAGATTTAAAGGGACGCCAGCGACTGCTCTCTTGAAAACCTACCAGTCCCACTGTGGGCGGAGAAATAAATGGTCTTTCTCCTCCTCACCCTGTGATTTCCTGCCGATGGGGGGGGGGGTGCTGCTCCCGGGGTCCTGGGGCTGCACTGCCATCGGGGGATGACGGCCGGGCATGGGGGTGGGGGGGTGGGGGGGGCATGACTCCGGGCCCGGGGCTCCAGGACAACAGGAAGGAGCCGGCGGGTGCTGGGATTGGGTCGCCGAGACCTTAGAGCCCTGGGGAAAGTCAGGGCCAGGACCCCCAGGACCCGCAAGATTAAAATCTGAGCCTTTCCTCCTGGCGACCCCTGCTGGCCGCACTGGGTATCGCTCCTTCCGCACCCGACCAGGCAGCTAGCCTTGAGTTTGTCTCTCCAGTTGCACAAAATCGGAAGAGGGTCCTTGGAGGCCCTTCCGGTTCTGCCAGTTGGTGTTCCCAAACATTCTACACTCTCAAACACAATCTCACCAGGAACCCTCCCCTGTAAACTCGCCCACTCCCCAGACCTGTGATCAGACCCCAGCCTTACCCAGGGACTTGTTAAAACCCTGATCCCAGCCCACAGACCCTCAGGTTCTGAGCCAGTGGCAGGCCCGCCTGGGTTCCTGAGCCGCCCGGCTGGGATCCACTGTGAAAACCACACTTCTGCACTCGTGTCCCGTTTCCCACAGGCTTGACCAAGGCTCAGAGCAAGGGAGGGCAGCCCGGGTCCCCCAGGCTCCAGGGCACAGCCTCAGCTCTTCCTGAGGGCACCTGCACCTGCCAGCTCGTGGGCGGGGCCTCCAGCAAGGGCCAGGACAGAGGGTCAGTGAGGCACCAGGGATTCACGGACACGGCAACCAGAGGGCTGAGACCATTTAGTGCCTGTCTGGGGCAACAGGGCCACGCGGGCATCAGGAAATCAGGTACAGCTGGATCCAGCAGCTCAGGGCCACCTTGGCCTGGGCAGGGGGGGTGGAGGCTGGTCCGCTGCGAGCGGACACTCCCGGCTCAGGCAACTCAGGCTCCCGTGTGCACTCCACTCTGATTCAGCCCGGGAATGAAACTCATTCAGTGCAAGGCTGGCCCCACCCCAGGACTTCAGTGCCGGGCCACGAGTTCCAGGCCAGATGTGACTCCAGGAGCCTCCAGGCCACACCCTCGAGAGGTGCAGGACAGCCAAGTGGGTGCTCCTGGGTCTGCGACTCCTGGTCCTCCTTCCGGGCGGGCCCTGGCTTCTCCTCAGGGCACTCGGGGGCCTGGGGCCGCCCTCCCTTGCTCCTGCCGCTGGAATTCCTCGTGGGCTCGATCCAGGTCCGAAAGCACCTGCAGCAGGCGCGCCGCGGCTGCCCTCTGCCGGGCCAGGACAGCACTGCACCCTGGGAGGGGACAGGGGCCGCGGGGGCTCAGCCAGGCCGGGTCCACGCGACCACCTGCACCCAGCGGCTTTCTGGAGCTGCGGGTTTGCCTTGTGCTGCCGAGGGCCCCACAGAGCAGGAGGCTGCAGAGGGGGGCTCTGCAAGCTTCGAGAAAGGCCCTGTGGGGGACGGGGTGGTGGGGGAGGGACCTCATTAACCCCTTACCTCCCGTGCCACTGGAGCCCTGCCCTGTGTCTGCCTCTGGAGTTGAATCCAAGCTGGGCTCCTCCAGGAATTTCATCCTGGAATTTGAGAGGGGGAAAGACAAGGCTGGTTCCTGATTCGCAGCCTGGCGCCCTACCCAAGATTCTGGAGAGGTTCCCAGGCATCACCCTCCATCCTCAATGCCACTGCAGACATCCCCGGAGTGCCTGGCACTGCGCTTAGCCCTTGGCATGGTTAGCCCGGCTCAACTGTCACAACACACTCACATGGGCGGGTACTTACACAATCACTGAGACACAGAGAGGTAAAGTAACTTGCCCAGGGTCACACAGCACAACGACCACCGGGAACACTTCCGGAAAGCTAACGGTGGCTTTGGCTACACAAGCGCGTGTGATGCTCGCTATAACCCCAGAGGTGGGCACCCCTGTGCTCTCCCTCTCCCAGAGGAGGGACTGAGGTACAGAGGGGCGAAGCTCTGTGCTCAAGGGTACCGTCGAGGGCTGGGGCAGGAACCGAGCCCAGGCAGGACAGCAGAGATCCTGAGACCTCGACGGGGAAGGGACACATCCAGGGTCCAAGGCCAGCCCAGGGGGCTGGGGTCTGAGGGGAATTGTGCCCCTGGAAGTAAAGGCCCCCAAGGCCCAGCTGTGCCTCCGAGGCTGGCACCCAGGGGTGGCGCTGCAGCTGCGCCCCGAAAGGGGCTGGGCGGGCACCCACCTGAGCTGCTCCCGCCCCAGCACCAGCTGCCGGTACACCATCTGGGTCTCCGCGTCGGGATCCAGCGGGTCACTCCAGTCCCCCAGGGTGACGGCCGAGTGGGTGCGGCTGCACCCGGGAGCTGGGGGGACAAGAACCATCGTAGCCCTCACCATGACTTCCGGGGCCCCCTGTGGCCCAGGGGTCACCAAGCCCTGCCCCTCCTGCCTCTAAGCCTCTCCTCAGACTCGCCACTGCCTCCCACCAGTAGCCTGGCCGCCCCCCACCGCTGCCTGCACCCTGGGAGCAGCCCTGCCCCATCCTCCTTCCATCCCAGGCTCTGGCCTCACCGGCCCCTACAGCCCCACAGCCCTGCGCCATGTGCTCTGCCAGGGACGCTCTCCCTCACCCCAAGCCCGACTCCAACTTCCCTGCCTCACACCTGCTCCACTAAGGTCACATTTTAGCACCACCTCCTCCAGGAAGCCCTCCTTGATCCCCCATCCTGGAACTGTGTCAGAGGCATTCTCTGGGCTCTCAAAAGCCTCAGTGTGGTATTGATAGGGCCGGCACTGTGGCGTAGTGGGTAAAGACACCGCCTACAGAGCCGACATCCCATATGAGCACCGGTTCAAGTCCCGGCTGCTCCACTTCTGATCCAGCTCTCTGGTATGAATTGGGACAGCAGTGGAAGATGGCCCAAGTGCTTGGGCCCCTGCACCTGCATGGAAGACCTGGAAGAAGCTCCTGGCTCCTGGCTTTGGATCAGCGCAGCTCTGGCCACTGCGGCCAATTAGGGAGTGAACCATCGGATGGAAGACCTCTCTCTCTCTCTCTCTCTCTCTCTCTCTCTCTCTCTCTCTGCCTCTCCTTCTCTCTGTGTGTAACTGTGACTTTCAAATAATAAATAAGTCTTTTTTTAAAATGTGGCATTGGGAACAGAGGTCTGTGCACTCTGGGCAGCTGGCACATACTGGGTACTCTTTTAAAATTATTTGAAAGGCAGAGAGACAGATCTTCTATTTGCCGGTTCACTCCCCCAAGTGCCCACTCACTTGGCTGGGACAGGCCGAAGCCAAGAGCCTGGAAGTCCATCAGGGTCTCGCGCGTGGAGGACAAGGGCCCGAGTACATGAGCCGTCACCTTCTGTCTGCTGAGGCCTGGGTGAGGAGCTGGAATTGGGAGTGCAGCTGGCACTCAAGCCCAGGCACTCTGAGCTGGGGCGTGGGTGTCCCGGGGCTGTCTCGCCTGTTGTACCAAACACCCAGCCCCATAGCAGCCACTTTGAAGAGGGCAGCTCGTACTGAATAAGCACCATTTGTATGCACCAAAGAGTGTTCTAAGCGCTTCGTGTGAAATGAAATCACGGGGCTGGTGCTGTGGCGCAGCAGGTAAAGCCACCCCCACGTGGGCACCAGTTCACGTCCTGGCTGCTCCACTTCCAGTCCAGCTCCCTGCTGATGGCCTGGGACAGCAGCAGAGGATGGCCCAAGTGCTTGGGCCCCTGCACCCACATGGGAGACTGGGAAGAAGCTCCTGGCTCCTGGCTTCCACCTGGCCCAGCCCCTGGCCATTGTGGCCATCTGGGAAGTGAACCAGTGAATGAAAGATCTCTCTCTGTAACTCTGACTTCCAAATAAAAAAGTAAATCTGTTTTTAAAAAAAATGAAATCATTACTCCTCACAGCCGCCAGAGGTCATCACTGTTGTCACCCCATTTCACATCTGAGACTGCAGCACAGAGAGGTTAAGCAACTTGTTCAAGATTGCACAGCCAGCCCTGGGAGAGACGGACACCTGCTGATGGATGGGTGGGAGGGCGGAGCCCACAATCCGCCCACTTCCTCACCTGAGCGCTCAGCCTGAAGGCAGCAGGTCCAGCGTGCACCGCGGAAGGCACCAGGGTGGCAGGCGGCCAGCTTGTCCTGGTTGGGGGCACTGGCCTTGCGCAGGGCTGACAGCCATTGGTTGAGGTCGTTCAGGTTCTGCAGGGGTGGGGCCATCAGGGCCTGGAGGTGGGGGTCCCAGGGATGTCCCACACCCGCACTTTGTTGGCCTTACCTTGCACTGGAGGTAGGCGGTGTGCAGCGGCCCCGCCCCGTCCCGTGTGACCACCTGCATCACGTGGGGCAGCTGGAAGGCTCCCTCGTCCACGCGCTCCACGGCCCGGATGTGGGAGACGGGGATGCAGGAGCGAGCCTGGGAAAGAGGCAGGCTGGGGGCCGTGGCCGGCGTGGCCAGGACCAGGGACAGCTCCCCCAGTGTGTGCACTCAATGGAGTCCCGGGAGCCGGGACCACTAAATTGTGCAGGGCGTGCGTGCGCAGAGGCCGTGCCCGGGGCCCCTGTCCTGCCCACGGCTTGCTGTCTGACAGACCTGGCTGTCCTGGATGTCACACTGCTTCTTAGCGACAAGAGCACCGACAGCAGCGGCACCTGCCACTCCCACGGCACTTAGGGCGCCTGTGGGTACGTGGCGTCAGCCAACTTGACCGTCACAACAAACACCTGAAGCTGAGCTGCTGCTGCCCCCAACTCGCAGATGAGGAAACTGAGGCACGGGGCCACTCAGCCGGGGAAGCGGAACCGGGAGCCCTGGAGGTGGCTGCCGCCCGCGGTCTACACTCTGCTGAGAACACAGCAGCTGGGAGCTGGGGATAACGGCGATCATGGACGGCGCACACGCAGGACGCGGCGGGGTCCGGGGCTGCCAGCTCCATGCTGGCCGTGAACACTGCCCCAGCCACAGGAACAGGGACCCCACAGGGGCACAGCCCAGAGCGGGCAC